AGAGCGTCCTGAATCCTACCGTCCGTTTGGTGTTCATTCTCCAGCATCGTCTCATGGCTCGGGAGGTTTTGTGTATGGTGCTTCTTCTGGTATCAATAACGCATTGTCCCCAGATTCGAGCGATCTAGGGCTTGATCGGAAGGATAAAGATGGGTTCGATGGGAGAAGTTCTGTTCCGAAGAGGAAAAAGAAGGTAGAGAGCGATGGCGATTCCAGGAGCTCCAAGTACCATAAATCCGACGAGAAAACAGCGTCCACGAACGGAGAAGACGAGAAGAGGAAGGCGAGACTGATGAGGAACCGCGAAAGCGCGCAGATTTCAAGGCAGAGGAAGAAGCAACACGTAGAAGGGTTCGAAGGAAAGGTGAAGAGTATGCATTCCACAATAGCTGAATTGAATAGCAAGATATCGTACATTATGGCCGAGAATACTGCCTTGCGGCATCAGATTAGTGGTGGTGGTGGTGGTCCTGCTTCTATGTATCCTCCCATGGCGGCACCACCAATGCTGTATCCTTGGATGCCATATCCGCCATATCAGTCTCGACCCTATGGATCTCAGGTTCCATTGGTTCCTGTCCCCAAGTTGAAAACTCTACTCAAGAAGCCTGAGATTAGAAAGGATGCAGCTAAAAGTAAGACTAAGAAGGTTGCTAGTGTTAGTTTTGTCGGAATTCTGTTCCTTATCTTCTTGTTTGGTGCCTTGGTCCCATTTGTGAATGTGAACTATGGACAAAATGGTAGAACTAGAAGCTTTAGCAGTTTGTCTATTTATGGTGGTGATCACCGATCTTATGATGAAGTTCCGGGGAGGGTTTTAACGGTGGATGGCCAATTGAACGGCGCTGAGAGTAGTAGAGGAAGTGGATTTTCTAATGGAAACAGACATTCTAGTGATAGGATTGTTAGTGAGAAAGAAGGTTGTAAACGAGGACTAGCGAGTGAACTGGGCAATGCCACTGAGCCTCTCTTTGCTTCTCTCTATGTCCCGAGGAACAACAAGCTTGTGAAGATTGACAGGAACTTGATAATTCACTCAGTTTTAGCAAGCGAGAAAGCGAAGAATGCTTCCGAAACAAGAAGTAGCAGAGAAACTGATCGGACAATTCCTCGTGAGCTTTCTTCCTCGTTAGCTGTCCCAGAGATTCCTCGCCTATACAGAAACTGTGAAGAACACCCAAAAGCTCTTCTTTCTATTTCGGCTGAGGGAAAATCCCTTCACCAATGGTTTCATGAAGGCATTTCAGGTAACTATTTTCTCCTCAAGCTCTCGAATTTCTTTGGTAAATTGTGCACTGACACTGGAGTTGCCTCTTTTTGCAGGGGCCCTTATGGACCACAGTATGTGCACTGAGGTTTTCCAGTTCGATATACCTCCTGGGGCGATCAGTAACATTTCACCAGAACATCTCCGAAATGGCACTGATGGCGATAAAAGAAAGAACAGAAGGATTCTCAAGGGGCTTCCTCTTCCTCTCACTGCCTCTGAGACATTATAGCGGACAAGACAGAAGAAGAAGATCATCAAGAACGAAACATCCATGGTAACAGAACCAAACCCTCGTCCTCTTCCATGGTGGTTTCTGTGTTACTCGATCCAAGAGAGGTCTTTGATTCCGAAACGGACGGAATGATGCATCCGAGATCTCTCTCCCGGATCTTCGTGGTGGCTCTTCTGGACAGCGTGAAGTACGTAGCTTACTCGTGTGTTCTTCCTCGTTCGGGTTTCCATTTCGTGGCCTCCTGATGGATGACAGAGGAGATGGTGAGAACAGGTTTGGATAGAAACCTTTTGAGCTCTGTTCATAGCTTTTGCTTGTTTTGATGTGTTTTGTCATCTAACCTCACTTGCAACCTTAACTAACTTTTCTTTATTGTTTTTATGTAAACTTATTTAGGGTTTAGTTGTCTTTTTTTTTTTTTTATAGACATTGATTAAATGGGTTTGGTTATCCTTATTTAGGGTTAAATGTGTCGGTTTGAATTGTATAATAATATTTATAATAAATAACAAAACAATTTAACAATTTTTTTTATAAATTAATATTTATAATAAATAGAAAATCTAAATTAAATAAAAAAAAGTCTATATAAAAATCTAATCAATATAATTTTTATAAAATGAAAGATCTAAAATCGAAAATAACAATGCAAAAATTTAATTGATATAATTTTTATTAAAGAAAAAAAATTAAATTCGAAAATATTGGAAACAGGATAAGAAATTATTGTTTAGATTTACTTTCTTTTCAGATGCAGACTACAAGTGTAGATTTCTTGCCAAGACTGCAGAATTTAAATCGGACAAGAAATTTAAATTATTTTGGACTAGCCAAAAGCAAAGTGTGCTTGATTAAACACATTTATAACCAGTAATTAAATAATCGTATGCTTGACTGCCCTTTATGGAATAACATTAGAGATGAGATTTGACGATCAAATTTATGTTCTACTAACTAACCATTGAAATTCAGAAATAATATCAAGTTTTTTATATGGTTATAAAAAATTATTAGTTAATATCTAATTTGTATAATATTATAAACGTTGTTTAAACCTCAATTCTTACATTTTTTTTAATGTATCATATGGATTAGTTAAAACATTTTTAAAAATGTGATTTAATACTCTTAGTTTCAATTAGGAATTTGATAAAATCGGCGAGGGACATAAAATTTCCATAAATCATAATTTTCAAAGGCGGCAACTATATTCAACCAATTCTTGCCAAATCAGCAAACAGTAACTGTTGTCTCTATATTTGTCTTAATCAACTTCCAAGTAAAGCTTGTGAGGAGATTTGTTTCTTGACCACATAAATGCCAAAGCATCATAGTCTCCTGCTAATTAATAGTGTTTATGTGTTAATTAGATGACTAAATACGAATGTAATCATAATCAAGAGAGCAAGCATTCAAAAACTCTTTACTCGCTTTCCATTGCCACCAATATGCAATTTAGACCCTCAAGAACGCAGAAACATTAAAATCATGAAACTTTCCTTTTATGGAAACCCGCAGGATCTTGATCCCATCGCCCTCTTTAAATACCCATTAATTAAGTGTTCAAGCTCATGCCGTCTTTCTCCTTCATAACCTCCATTGTTCTTGAGGATGATTGGATTTGATAACACTGTGGCCAGAGACGTAGCGAGAACGCATCGCCGGGACCGGCTCACGCTCTTCGGGGACGAGATCTTGGAGATCCCTTCCGTCGAGCTGAACTTGTTCGGGACAGGTAACCCGATATCTCCCCGCGTCGGGGAGTCGGCAGGTCCCGAGGGAGATTCGGGTAGCTCCATTCGGGTAGCTGTGGAGAGGAGGAAGTACATTTGCAGGTATTGCAGGAAGAAGTTCTCTAACTCGCAAGCCTTAGGCGGTCACCAAAACGCTCACAAACGCGAGAGAGCGATCCTGAAACGGGAGCAAGAGGCTGTCAGGATGCGTATCGATCAGTTGCTTTACTCGAATCCGTATCCGTACTCGCGCCAGTACCCGTATCCGTACCCGACCCTGTCCTCCTCCCCCTCCCCTTTCTCGGCTCTTGGGCGACCCCCGGTTAACCATTTGGGGCTTAGCCCTCAGTCCTTCATCCATAAACCCAATTATACACCCCCTGTTTACACCCGGAACAACTCATGGCCAAGGACTAACTTTGCGGGTCTAAGGGTGGATCCAAACCATGGGTCGGGTCAGCTTTGGGCACAGACCAGAGGAGTAGCAATCCCACCCCATTTTGCGCAGCAGCCGTTGTTTCCTCAACCGTTCATGGCCTCAGGCCAAGTCACCAATCCTTTCATGGGTTTGGACCTTCGCCCGAACCGTGGCCAAGTCACTGCACCTCTCATGGGTGCGGACCTTCGCCTGAGCCAAGAAGCTCATGCTCAAGCCGGAGCACGACGAGGAGGGTTAGCCATAGAACCAGCGGCAGCCGCCGGGCAAGAGGAGGACCACTCTCTGCCTAATCTCTCACTCAACCTGTGAAGCTCTCAAGCTTCTCTTATGTCTCCCTTGCTTAGGACCGCCTCTGTCGTTTCTTTCTCCTGTCTTTGTCATGCTTTCAGTTGTAGCAGATCCATTGATCTCCTAATCTCTGCAATAAACATGTCCGTTAGCTGCTCTAAGCACATCACAATTGACAAGCAATACTTGAAGAACCAAATACAAGCAGGCCGAAACTATGATATCGACCTTTATTGATAAATATAAACCCTAAGATCACATGGATGATATCCTTTGCTTGTTCATAAAACCATTGGCAGCGGCTTTTTCGCCGGAAAATACATGACCCAGGAAGCAATTTCCCTCGGTCCATTATATACAACAGTCGCGTGGGTTTATGAAGGGAGGCACACTCTTTTGCGTGGAACACCCATAATTGACCAGAGCTCTTCCAGTATTTTTTTGGTTCTGTTTAGTTCATGTGACGTAGTTTATACACTTAGCTTGGGTTTTCCGTGGACGTGGAGGCTTTTCATATATAACTTAGAAGACTATATATATATATATATATATAATATTGTCATGCGTTGAGCCCCGCCGCAACCAAGACGAGCAAGATGGTCCACTTGACAGCGGATGAACCTGCATCTGCTGCCGAAGGCCGAAAACGAAGAACTGAATTATCGAATGGGGAATGGATGTATAGTTTGTTGTATCGTAAAATCAATGGTGAAGCAATGTTACTCACATGAAGACGGTGGTGGCGAGACGGGCGCAGCTTCGTCAGGGCGCCGATCATTTGAACGGCTTCTGGGTGGAGGTGGTTGAGTCTGAGCAAACGCAACATGGGGCAAAGGAGCAGAGCTTGGGACCAAACGAGACCTCGTCCCGGGATTAGGGGATGGAGTGTGTGGCTGCGGGTGTGGGGGTTGGGCAGAGGGCCCGGGAGAAAGGTATGGTGCAGGGGCAGGAGCCAGATGTGAATGTCTCGTCCCTGTGTTTCCTCTTTGACGTCCTCTATTCCTGAATTGGCAGGCCGGGGGAGCGGACGGAGCTTTGGCAGGGCTTGCCTCAGGGACATGTGATACCCTTTTGGCAGCAGGTGCCGGTGAAACCTTGGGAGCCATATGAGGGCTAAGATGGTGGTGATGATAGTGGTGGTGGTTATGGTGATGATGGTGGCTATAGGGAAGTGGTGAGGGGGCCGGAGAGTTGGTTCCACCGTTTTTAGTGCTGTTTGGCAAGATAGAAGACAGGCTAACTTGCTTGACCTTACCGAATATGGTATTGTTTAGACCGAGGTTTTTCGAGCGGGACCCTTTGATGGTGTCAGCCAGTTGCTTCGCTCTTGGCCTTGGATTCCCGACTCTTAGCAGAACTGATGCATGAACAATTGCCGGGGGAGACACTGTAGACCCCTTTGAGTTCGATAAGCTTACAAACAAGTTCTGCATTCAGATCATCGTTGTGTTAAAAAAAATCTCGAATGATAAAAACTTAGCCATGCAGTCACATGCACGTACGCGTCTGATTGTACGTAACTTCATAGCGAAAAGTCCCGAAAAAGGAAAAGGAAGAAAAGGTCGGAGTAAAAATGGCAAACCTCGTAAGGAGCTAGATTCAGTCCCTTCTTTAGCTGACTGGCCAAGGCATTGAAATTTATCTGTATCTGGTAAATAGAGAAGTTCAAGGTAAAATTGAAAAGAATCTGGGGTTTCTGCAGAACAAACACTTGCTGCGGCGGAATCACGGTAATTCCTCCCGGGAACTTTAGCACTTGGAAGAGGAACGGTTCCCCGCACGAGGACTTTGTTAGCCGGAGAGAGGATTGATTTATGAGCAAAGATTCGAAAATCTCCCTGACAGAATTCAAAGACAGAGGAGATATCTCTCGGTGTTTCGTATCGTGGTCAACTCCGAACACCACCTTTGTTGTGTTCGGTCCAGCCGAAGGCTCAACAGACAAAACAGTCACCTGTTTCCAGTCAAGCAAGTCGGATCAGAACAGGAACAAGACAATGATACACGTAATCAGGAACCCAAAAAAAAGTGACGGGAAAAGGCTATCGGTACTTTGATGGAATCATAGCTCATCTCCTGAAAGATATCATCCTCAAGCTGCAAAATTTTTTGATTCGCAAAAGAAGCCGGCTTCCCGACATCAAAACTCGCCACTATTTCATGATCTGCACAAATATCAAAATGATTCAGAAAGATGTTTAATATGATGCTAATAAAGATTTCCGGAAACAGAAGCAAAAAACTTCCGGTAACCTAAACACTTGAGTACATCACCGAGCAACCGCGGTGGTCTCACAAAGCTATTAAGATGTCTCAATCATTATCTCCAATAAATTTACCGGTATCCCGCCCAACTCCCGAGTGGAAGTAAAGAATAAATTTACTAGCCAAGACAGTTTACCCGAGGATCGAATATCGTGATTCTAGAATATAAAAGGAAGAGGAAAATTCATAAACCAGTAAATTCACAACAGGAAGCAATAAAAATCCATGAAGAAATCCAAGAGATGCGATGAATCCATCTAAGCACCAAGACCTCATTCTTCTCTCATCTACTCAACTCTTAGCAAAACCGTAACCCTCTTTTCTAACCTATCAAACCGGGGAAAGAAGCATGATTCTATTCTCCGGGCATCGATTCAACTATCCAGAATGGCAATTTCAGGGCTTCCCATGGATATGTGTGCAAAAGTTAAAAGGTCTTAGCTTTGCAAAATGTCATGCCAGATGTGAGGCTCAATGCTTCAAGCCAGTCAATTTCTACTTCCTTTTTGTTTTCCCAAATTCATGTTAACTGACTCTGCCTATTCTCCAGGCCAAAAATAAAAGTGGCCAAATTTGAACAAATAGCATAAGATTTCGATCCCTACATTTTAGGAAAACCCTAAAAATCTCGTCCCCAAAATACTAAGAATAGAGTTATTATACAAGGAAAAAGGGGTCCAAGATTCGGAACACAGAAGCACAAAACTATAAAGACACAGATGGGTTTATTTTCAGCTACAGACACTGTGGTCGGAAACGACATTATCGCACCAGACCAAACAGGAACAGATAAAGCAAGCAAATCACAATGGTAATGTCTCATAAAAACCCGACGAATCGAGGGTAACACCTCACCTCTAAACCTGGGATCGAGATCCGGATCCCTTGGATCTGTGTCGTAACCAAACGGGGGCAGTAAAAACATAGCGGAGAGAAACAACGCGACGGAGATAATCAGCACGAAGAGACATTTGAACCCGACAAGCCCCGAGATCCGATCGCAGCCGCCGCCGCCGCGCCGCGCATTTCCCTCCGACGAACCGCTGACAGCTTCTCCGGTGGCGTCAGCGACGCGGGACGGAAGATTCCGATCATCCCCTGTCTTCCCCATTGCAGAGCATTTAGGGTTTCGTTAGTACAGGTCATAGCAAGAGCTCCGACAGAAAACAGAACAGCGACAACGATCACAACCCTCCTGATCGGTGGGTACAACCATTATCAGCTTCGGAAGCAATGAACCCAAACAAAACCAGACGAAAACCCAAAAAAAAAAACAAAGAGAGAACAACTCGCGAAATTTCGAGAGGAGGGGGAGAGGAGAAGATGTGATTTTGAAGTTGGGTTTCAAATTGGAACCAGGGTTTTGTCTCACAACATTGCAGAAAACACGAGATCGACGGGGAAAAGCGAGAGTGAAGTGATTTTTTCTAGGGGTTCAGACAGAAGAGTGGAGTTGCAACTTGCGAGAGTTGTGGATTACCATTTTTCGAACTTTCATTTCTTTTTTATTTAACAATAAAATTGAATAATTAATAAATCATTAAATACCATTTGTACAAATTGCGAGAGCGCCGACAGATTGCCCCGTGACCGTTTCGAGGTGTCCGAACGACCCACCGTTCCGAAGTAAAACCCACCGCTCATCTCTCTTCAATACATTCTTGACATAAAATAAAATATAGTTATATTATTTATCTCATAATTATCTTATTCAACCCTAAACTAATAATTTAAATTCTAAATTTAAAGCTTTTAAGTTCTCATTTAAGATTTAGAATTGGTGTATAATATCTGATTGGAAGAATAATTATGATTTAGAAAATTAAAGCTAGGGTCTAGAATTTATTATTAGAATTTATGATAATTTTGTTTGGCAATCGAATTATCAAATTTGTTTATGATGTCGTCAGATCTTATTTTATATATATTTTTCTATATGAAACAAATAATATATATTAGTTTTTACTCAATACATAATAATAAATTTTATATAAATATAATAAATAACAAATATTTCATATCAAAGATACACAATTAATTATCAAAACAAACCATAGATATATATATATATTTAAGAATATTATTTTTATTATTATATTAAAATTAATTTTTTGAAAGATTGAAAAAAATCCAAAGATACACATATTATTTCAAACTTAACTTCACTATACAAGTAATATAACGACTAATGGTAGTTTTTCAATAATTTAATTTTACTAATATATTTTTTCAATATTAAACAAAAATAGAATATCATTTTTAATAATATATATCAATAAATTCTATAAATATATATTTAATATAAAAAAGATTAATCCACGCATATCGGGGGTTCTTTTCCTAGTAAATTAGAAATAGTAAAATAAAAGAAAAGAAAAAAGGAAGAAAAATAATCAAATTATTAAATCGTCTAATAAAGTAATTAAAAAAATTAATCAAGAGGATATAGTATTAATATATATATGGCGTTTTAATAATAATAATAAGAATAATAAGAATAAACCAAGCGGAACTATAGGGATTAGAATAAGGGTTGTGGACCTATATGTTTAAATTCAAAACTTAGATACTAGTCAATGATATATTCAAAATCGAGTTTTAAACCCTAAATTTTCAAATGAAACCAATCAGATTTCCTAGTGACGTGTGTATAAAAACAATCTTTTAGTATTTGATAAATATATTAGAATTTTAATACGATTCCAATCTCATTGGAGAAGTTGTAAAGCCAAACCCACGAATTATCTCTACATACTACTTTCTTGAAATTCCGGGAGCAATATAAAATTTTCTAAAATAAAAAAGGGTTTATACCCTTCGCGTCGTTTCAAATTCAAAACCTCTGTGTCTCTCCCATGGCGGATGAAGTAGAATGGCAGTCCTCGATGGCTTCACTGCAATCTCAGGAAGCTTTTTCTGAGCCTTACATGGTCGGCTTCGTCATCGCGAACATAGTAGGGTTACAGTACTACTCCGGTCGAATCAACGGCAGAGAAATGGTCGGTCTTGTTCGAGAACCCTTGAACCCGTACGACGAGAACGCCATCAAAGTAGTCAACACGCGAGCTGTACAGGTCGGTCACATCGAGCGGGCCGCGGCCGCCGTTCTGTCGCCGTTGATAGATACTCGTACGATCGTCGTCGAAGGTATCGTACCCAACTCTCGTTCTGGTAGCAATAGATTCAAAATTCCCTGTCAAATCCACGTCTTCGCGAGTTTAGAAGCGTTTTCACAAGTGAAATCGGCGATTTTGCGAGGTGGGTTGGTTTTGATTCCGGATTCTGATACATCTTTCGGGCTATCGGAGGCTGTTGTGGTTAAGGAACAGATGGGTGAACGACAGAACAAGAGCGTAGATCAGATATTCAAACTGGTTGATAAAAATGTGAGGAAAAAGGAGAAGATGGAGGCTGTTGATCCGCCAAGGGAAGTGATAAAATCCAAACTTTTCGTTCATCAGAAGGAGGGTTTGGGTTGGTTGCTTCGCAGGGAGAATTCTGAGGAGTTACCTCCGTTTTGGGAAGGGAAAGATGGGGAATTCATAAACGTTTTGACAAATTACCGCACGGATAAGCAGCCTGAGCCTCTACGTGGAGGAGTATTTGCTGATGATATGGGTTTGGGTAAGACCCTCACTCTGCTTTCCCTGATAGCTTTTGATAAACATGGAAATCCATCCAGCAGTATGCCAGATGAAGAACCCCTGGACCCGGGAGTCGACAACACCGGGAAGAAGGGTAAGAAAAGGGGTAGAGGAAAGAGCAACGCAAGCGGAACACGTAAAAAACATAAACCTGATGGCTTTGGTGTGGGTGTGGCTGAAAAGACAACGTTGGTCGTTTGTCCACCTTCTGTATTTTCGGCATGGGTGACACAGCTAGAGGAGCATACAGTACCAGGGTCCTTGAAGGTGTATATGTACCATGGTGGTGAAAGGACAAACGATGTAAATGAACTTAAGAAGTACGATATAGTGCTGACTACCTACAGCACTTTGGCCGTTGAGGAAGCCCGTGAAGATTCCCCCGCCAAGAAAATGGAGTGGCGACGGATAATTCTTGATGAGGCACACATTATTAAGAATGCAAATGCTCAACAGAGCCGAGCAGTCAGTAATCTGAAGGCTCGTTGCAGGTGGGCTGTCACAGGGACCCCTATTCAGAATGGATCCTTCGATTTGTTCTCTTTGATGGCATTTCTCCGGTTTGAGCCATTCTCAATCAAGAGTTATTGGCGAAGCTTGATACAACGCCCACTTTCTCAAGGGAATAAGAAGGGGCTCTCTCGTCTACAGGTAATACAAATATAATCCACCTCTTCTATACAAAAGGATGCTTTCTACTGTTTAGATTTTGATTTTCATCTTTTGGTGGATTGACTTAACTGTGCACTCTTTAAGGTTTTAATGGCGACAATTTCTTTGCGGAGAACAAAAAACAAGGAGTTAATCGGTTTGCCACCTAAAACTGTTGAAACTCGGTATGTGGAACTTTCTCCGGAAGAACGTCAGATATATGATCACATGGAAGGAGAAGCTAAAGATGTTGTGCAGAACCTCGTAAATACCGGCAGCTTGATGCGCAATTACTCAACTGTGCTGAGTATTATTTTACGGCTTAGACAGCTTTGTGATGATGTAGCTCTGTGCCCTCCTGAACTGAGATCTTTTTCCACTTCCTCAGCCATTGAAGGTAATAATACTATGAGCTCAGTCATTTACTTGCGTTTTAGACATAGATACACACACTTATATATTGCATATCGTGATCTTGCATCATTACATGGACTTTTCTATGTACTGGCATTTATCGTTGGATGATGCATCAGCTTTTGGTTGAGTAGAAACCCAACCTGTCTTTTTTGGTTTTCTCAGTTTCTTTCTCCTTTGGTTTGCAAAAGCTCAAATCATTTGTGATATCATAACAAGTAATTTGATTCCAAACAGATGTATCTGATAAGCCAGAGCTACTGCAAAAGCTTGTGGCCGTACTGCAAGATGGGGAAGATTTTGATTGTCCAATCTGCATCTCCCCGCCAACCGATTTTATCATCACTCGCTGTGCTCACATCTTCTGCAGAGTCTGCATTCTCAAAACCCTTCAGAGGACTAACCCGTGCTGCCCTCTTTGTCGTGGCCCTCTAACTCAGTCTGATCTCTACAGTGCTCCTCAAGAGGCTTCCAATACTGATGGAGACACCAAAACAGCTTCACCCAAATCTTCCAAGGCCTTGGCTTTACTGTCACTTCTCCTTGAATCCAGACAGGAAGACCCCAACACAAAGTCTGTTGTGTTCTCTCAGTTCAGGAAGTTGCTGCTGCTTCTAGAAGAGCCGCTTAAAGCTGCGGGTTTCACCATTTTACGGTTGGATGGGTCGATGACCGCGAGGAAACGGACCCAAGTGATAGGAGAATTCGGGAATCCGGATTTGAAAGGTCCCGTGGTGTTACTCGCGAGCCTCAAGGCTTGTGGAACTGGTATTAACCTAACAGCAGCCTCGAGGGTTTACCTGTTTGAGCCATGGTGGAACCCAGCAGTTGAAGAACAGGCCATGGACAGGGTTCATAGGATCGGACAGGCTCAGGAAGTTAAGGTTGTCAGGCTGATAACCCGGGACAGCATTGAAGAGAGGGTTCTAGAGCTTCAGCAGAAGAAGAAGAAGCTGGCGAGTGAAGCTTTTAGGAGGAGACCCGGGAAAGACCAGAGGGAGGTTAATGTAGAAGACGTCCTTGCTCTCATGTCAATCTGAATAATCACCTTCACATATTCCATACTCTTTTGCTTCTGAAACTCAAACCCTAGCCGACATTTTGTAGGTTTGGTTTTGGTTTTGGTTGCTTCTTTCACAAGTAACTGGTTAGCGGTTAGGTCATGGGAAACGACCCTATTTTGAGCACTTGGGTTGAGTCCGTTTTCTTTATTGTAAATGTAGTTTCTCAGATAATCTTGAATGAAATTAATGGGTCACAGTTATGATATCGCTAACATCCCTTTAAATAAATCTTGAATTAAAGAGCAAGCATTATAATTTTGGGACAATAATGAAGATAATTAGTTGAAAATTTGTTGGGTGTTGAAACATTGATGAACTTCACCTAATCATGTGTGAACCTTTCTTAAATCTTGTTAGAGTTAATTTGAGTTTTTTTTATTGCCTCTAACCTAAAAGTCAAACCGTAAAAAAGAATGAATATTTATGAGCTTATGTAACCAAACGATGTCGATGACAATTCTATATAAAAATAAAATAGATTAAATATAATTTAAATAAACTAAATTAATTGAATTCAAAAATTAAATGTTAATAATTTGTTTTTATATAGGCTTATTTTGTAATATTCATAACTTTCAGGATAAAACTGTAATTTTAGGAAATATTTTAACAATGGTGACAAAACAACGACGTGATTTTGGGCCCCGGCCCCACGAGAATCTAAAGGAACCGCACCTTCCAATGACGTGGCGGCTATTGGCCGGCC